CAGACACAAAAGAGTATAGCGTCTAAATGAAATTCAAGAACAGGCAAAATTAATCTATGGAAACAGAAGTCAGAAAGCTATTTATATTTGGGGTTTGGTGTAATACTGAGAGGCACAAGGAAGTCTTCTGGGGTGCTAGAAATGTACTATAATATCTTAATCTAGGTGGTAATTACCTAGATATATGGATACATATACAAAAGTTCATCAAGCTTTAAGTTACAATTTATGCCTTTTTGTGTAAAGCCACATATTAATTTAATAATTTTTAAAAATTCTGCTCAAGAAAAAAATGAAAATAACCAACAAAACTTTAAAAAAAAATTGTCAAATTGGGGCGCCTGGGTGGGTCAGTTGGTTAAGCGTCTGCCTTCGGCTCGGGTCATGATCTCCTGGTTTGTGAGTTCGGGCCAGCGTCGGGCTCTGTGCAGACAGCTCAGAACCTGAAGCCTGTTTTGGATTCTGTGTCTCCCCCTCTCTCTGCCTCTCCTCCGCTTGCACTCTGTCTCTCTCTCTCAAAGATAAATAAACATTGAAAAAATTTTTTAAAAAACAATAAAATAATTGTCAAATTAAAAACCTCAAAAATTCTCAAATTTAAAATTATTTCACTTTTTCTAAATAGTGATTTATAAAACATCATGAACCAAGAAGAAAAGATTAACAAAACTTCAAAGATCCTGAAGTTCAAAATATCCCAACTAAACACTAAGTCATATACATTTTTTAAATTGTTTGTTCAATCATTCATTAATACTGGATGCAGTTTTCAGATGCAGTTCTAAGAAATGAGTTTACAGTGAATAAGATGAAGTTGCTACCTTCACAGAACTTAATACATTTAGAGCCAAGGTAGGGCCCGGAAGGAGTTTATAGGGTGGCCAGACAAGGCCTCACTGAAAAAACAGCATTTATGCAGAGAATTGATGAAAGTTAGGGAGCAAGCCATCAGGAAATCTCAGGGAAGAACACTGAAGGCAGAGAAACAAGATGTGGAAGAGCCCTGAGGTAGAAAGTAGGATTGGCCTGTTCAAAGAACAGCAAGGATGTTGGTTTAGTCAGAGCAGAGTAAGCCAAAAGTGGAAAAGTGTGGGAAATAGGTTACAGAGAGGGGTGAGGGCAAATCTTATAAGGTCCTCTAGATACTGTAAGGACTCCAGCCTTGCTCTGAGATGGAAAGCCACTGAAGAGTTTTGAACAGAGGTTCAAAAGGATCTGATTTACATTGTAAGAGAAGATTCTTACTGTTTTGTTAAAAAGATTGGGGCAGTGGCTGACGATCACAGTCAGAGAAGTGAATTAGGCTGTTATATCTAGGAAGAGAAATGATGGAGCCTGGATAGGAGTGGTACTAGGAAAGTGGTAGGATTGTGGATATATTGTGAAAGCAGAAGTAACAGGATTTATTGATGGACTGCATGCGGAAGTAGAGAGTAAAAAGGAGTTAAGGATGGTTCCAAGTTTTTTGGTCTAAGCAACTGGTTTAGGGTAGACAATACCACATAGTCTGTCAGTATTTCTGATAAACTTGCTGATTTGTTTGGCAAATTTATTTTTGGCATAAGAACTTTTAGGGGAGAGATTTTGCTGAACTGACTGAGAACCAATTCTTAATATGAATCTTATTCCCCAGAGCTACTTTTTATCTTTTGGTATTATATTCTTTTCTGAAAGGCATTTTTTAAAAAAATTATAAAAGCATGCTCACTGCATAAAACTGAGAAGATATAATAAAAAGGAAAAAGACAAAATATTCAGTCTTACAATAAGGAGAATCACTGATGACAATTTGACAATGAATCCTATTTAATATCCATTTTGCAATACGTGGACCATTACAGAATAAGCAAAGTCATAACTACATCACAAGCAATTTCTCACTATTTGAGCAAATACTTCACTACAGAGTATGACAAGCTAGATTTCTTTCTATGTGTCGAATTTCTGAGATTGCAAATGCTGATACTTTCATCTGTTCAGACACTGGCAAAAATCACTGCATTGTATGAATCAAGCAAGCTAAAATACTGTTCTTCTCTCTTTATTAAACAAAATAAAATAAAACATGGTAAGACACAAAATTTTCATGAGTTGATTGGCTTCGATCAACCACCCACCAGTAGTTTATTGGAATTTCAAGCCTAAAATTTAAAGGGAAGTCAATACCCTCCAGCATCCAGACTGCAAATTCAAACCTTACAAGTAACAGCAAACATTATGGTGTACCATTTGAGATTTAAAACGTAAAAAACAGGGGCGCCTGGGTGGCGCAGACGGTTAAGCGTCCGACTTCAGCCAGGTCACGATCTCGCGGTCCGTGAGTTCGAGCCCCGCGTCGGGCTCTGGGCTGATGGCTCAGAGCCTGGAGCCTGTTTCCGATTCTGTGTCTCCCTCTCTCTCTGCCCCTCCCCCGTTCATGCTCTTTCTATCTCTGTCCCAAAAATAAATAAACGTTGAAAAAAAAAAACAAAAACCAACTTTTAAAACGTAAAAAACAAAAAAATCCCTTCTCTTAAGTATCCCTTACCAGTTAGCATCAGATCAATCAGCCTTATAGCTTATAGAGGCATTTTCTATGTTATTTTAACTACTTTCATATATTAATAATTATGATGAAGAGAGGACTTCACTGATCAAATCATTTTTTTGAGAGACAGAACACACACATGAGCAGGGGAAGGGCAGAGAGAGAGGAACAGAGAGAATCTAAAGCAAGCTCCAGTCTCAGCACAGGGTCTAATGCGGGGCTCGATCCCACAATCCTGGGACCATGACCTGAGCCGAAATCACGAGTTGGATGCTCAACCGACTGAGCCACCCAGGTGCCCCTCTGACCAAATAATTTTGTCTAAATTGCCTAATTGGGAAAGCTATTTCCTTATGTAAGATTTTTAGAGAAAAAGGTGAAAAAATAAAAAACAAACAAGAAACCACCTGACAATTTGCTGGATGAAACGTTATTAAAAAGGGAGATGCAGTAAAGGAAAGCTAACTGACCTGTTAAGAACTGGTTAACCTATGAAACCAGCATGTACTAAGTATCAGTAGTATAGGGACAGGATAGCTTGACAGGATACATACTAAACCAGACTGTTTAGATTTGTATCCTAGTTCTGTCACTCTAACTACGTGATCTCGGGGATATGGCCATATCCATACCTAAATTTCCACATTTATATAATGGGGGTAATACTACTACTTACCTCTTAAAGTCATTGTAAGAATTAAATAAGTTAATGTACCTAAACTGCCTGGAATAGAACCTGGAAGACGTTAATGACTTACTAATGTGAACCTGGCATTACACAACACGCCAGAACTACAAAGAGGATTCAGAAAATTTCCTCACCAACAGGAATTACCAAAAACACTACTGGCAGGTACATGAGCATTAAGATCCAACATATTTTAGACTAAATATTCTTGAACTTAGGAATCTACACTGAGGGGCTCCTTTAACATTTCTACATACACAGTTTCTTTATCTCGAGTTTAAACACCTAAATTAAAAGTTTCTCTTCTTGCTTAGGGTTGAAATGGCCAACACTGATCATCAAATAAATAAACAATTTAGTGTCAAGTTTTCAGAACACATTTTTGTAAGTAATGTGAAATTTCAAGCTCTAGGAAGGATACAGAAAAAAAAATTTTAAAACAGAAAAAAACTGTAAAAAAAAAAAAAAAAAAAAGAAAAGAAAAGAAACAGAAGATTCACTTCACAGAATTACTTCTTAGGGATCTAATTACTAAACTGCATCTTATAGTATGATATACATGAGTTTCTATCCAGAAATTCTAGGCTGTCCTTCCACCTTATGCATTAGGCTAATCACTACCAATCCTTCAAATCCAGCCCCAGCCTTAATAAAGCCTGCTCCAGCCAGAATTGTTCACTCCTTTCCTCTTTGCTTATGTGTTATGTATTACTACTGCCATCAATCCACCAACAATTTCTTCACTCAATAGTTTAGAGGAGTGCTGTCCAACAAAAATGTAATGTGAGCCGTGTAAGTAACTTAAAACTTTCAGGAGCCATTTTAAAAATAACAAGTGAAATTAATGTACTTTAATATAACCAAAATATTATCATTGCAAAATGTAAACAATTATTAATGGGATCCTTTATATTCTTTTTTACATACTAAACTGTCAAAACCTGGGATGTATTTTATAATGCATAACATCTCCATTTGGACTATCTACATTTTAAGAGCTCAACAAGCACATGTGGCTACTGGCTACTGTACTGAACAGTACAGATCTGGAGCCTAGATTATTCTATCATATGAAGTGTGGTCTATGGGTCAGCAGTATCAGCATCACCTAAGATTTTGTCAGAAATGCAAAATCTCAGTCCACCTCAAACCTACTAACACAGGGACTAAATTTAACAAGCTCCCCAAGGTGACCTGAATGCACATTAAAGACTGTGAAGTACGACATAACAAATTGCTACTGCCATTCATCTATCATGTGGTACTACGCCACTAATACAGAACACAATATTAAATAATAATGGCTTCTCCACAAATCATGTTTTCTCTACACTGTCCAACAGAACATTATGCAATAGTGGAAATACACCTATATTTCCCAAAATGGTAACCACCTGCCACATATGTCTATTGAGTACTTGAAATGTGGCTGGTGTAACTAAGAAACTGAATTTTAAATTTTAATTAATTTTATTCAAACTCAAAATAGCTAAATATGGCAAGTAGCTACCATGTTGGACAGCATAACTCTAGGGTGTTATTTACTACATCCCAGTATAATCTCTAGGAGACTCCTAGGGACAAATTTAGAAGGTCTAATCAAGACAATTTCTCTAATTACCTGTGCTTGCTCTCTCTCCTTTTAACCAACCATCATATTTACCACTTTATATCGGCTGAGACCAAATATAAAACCTATCTCTAGGGAAGCATAATAAAAGTTATAGCATGTGTTTTGAGTGTGTTACTACTACTCCAGCTTATCATCAATTATAGCATACATACCTGTACAGTCTTTTTTATTCTATGAGATGGACCTGGATACTCTGGAGAATATAAATCTGTGAGGAATAATGAGTTGATTAATGTTGACTTCCCCAGTCCAGATTCACCTAAAAGAAATGGTGGGGAGGAAATGTGTTAAATTCAGTCACTTTATGAACCTTAAATATTCAACCAATACTATAATCAAACTTGCTTTAAGCAAGCAGTTCTTGGTGGAACAAAGAAGTAACGTTAGGAAACATACTATAAAGACTCCCAATTAGAATAAGTTCTTTCTCTTCATTTCGTTCTCTATCAAAGTAGACTAAAGTTTCCAACAATTCTTTTTAGATCTGTAATTCTACAATCTGTGTTCTTTAAAAGTAATTTATCTAATACAATATTCTCCACTTTTAACAGTAACATATTCCTAGACACCAAAAGCTAGTCATGAAAGAAACATTCAAGTTGGATTATACACTGCTGCTTCAGTACAATAAAGCATAAAAGAAGTTAGGTGTAAACATTTATTAATAATTAATGACCCAAAAATAAATCATACACCTATAAAAAGTAGAAATCTGTTAATGAAAAGAAAACTTAATCACAATGTATCTTAACATAAAGGGACCCACAAAAAGTATTTCCAACTTATTCACTCATATATCAGCCTAAGTGTAAGGGGTACCTTTCCGTAAACCATATTCCAAAAACATCCTAGGTAATGACTTTTTTATAGTACTTCTGATTGAGGTAGGAGGCAGGAATGGAGGAAGGTAGGACACAACTTCCACTAAGATTGACATATGCTCCTTTGACTGTCCATGTCAAGTTTGGTATAACACACCAAATATATGGTTAATTTTTACGAAAATATAAATAACTTCAAGGTATACATAATACAAGGTTAAATAAATTAAAAATAATACTATAATTATCCATGAATACAGCACAAGTTAAAGAATCTAGCAGTTAGCTTAATAGGCACCTTTAGCCTAAATAACTGATGTCAAAATATTAACCTTACTATTTCTGTCTAGGTTGATAGTTTTATAATGACTCTCAAGAAAGGTAAGATTCATTCTGGTTGTTGGGGCTTACAACAATGAGGGGATGTCATATGAATGAAGGGATGTCATTTTTTTCTAGATGTAAAAATTACAGAAATTTCTAAGACGAAGGAAAAAAAATTGTAGGTTCTTCATAATCGCTTCTTTCTTAACTCATATACTGAATAAAGGAGTAAAGACTCGAATAAAACCCAAGCACATGAGGAAAATTGGAAATATCTAGGCCTTGTAGACACTGCTGCCCTAGAGCTACCTGAATTGCCCAGCGATGGTCAACTCCACTGTGTTCTCTGACATTACGATGGACAGCAAACCCTTGGGCTGCCATCTCTTTCGAGCTGCTTGCAGATAAAGTACCAAAGACAGCAGAGAACTTACATGCTTTGAGCACTGGAGAGAAAGGATTTGGTTATAAAGGTCCCTGCTTTCACAGGATTATTCTAGGATGTATGTGCCAGGATGGTGACTTTCTATGACATAATGGCACTGGTGGCAAGTCCATCCAGGGGGAGAAATTTGATGATGAAAATTTCACCTTGAAGCACATGGGTCCTGGCATCTTATCCATGGCAAGTGCTAGACCCAATGCAAACGCTTCCCAGTTTTTCATCTGCACTGCCAATACTGAGTGGTTGGATGGCAAGCATGTTGGATGGCAAGCCTTTGGCAAGGTGAAAGAGGATATGAATGTTGTGGAAGCCATGAAACCCTTTGGGTCCACGAATGACAAGACCAGCAAGATCACCACTGCTGACTATGGACAAATCTAATAAACTTATGTTTTATTAAGAATATATATATACACACACACACACACACACACACATATATATATACACATATATATATACACACACACACACATATATATATATAAAAAACACTTTTCTTATTTAGAAGCATAAATGAGAAATGAGTACTTGTATAAATATTTTGGGATGTTAAATGTAAAAGTACACTATATTAAAAAATTAACACTGTACTGACTAAAACTATGTTTAGACTTTATTTATTTATTTATTTATTTATTTATTTAGTTTATTTGTTTGTTTGTTTGTTTGGTGGTAAGGGGTAGAGGAACAAGAGGAAGTAGGACAAAATGAAAGTAAAGATGAAGGGGGAAAAAAGCCTGAAAGGCAACACATCAAAATGTTAATAGTGGTTGCAGTTAAGATTTTTTTCTTAGCTTTCTACATTTCTCTGTGCTTTAAATTTCCTTCACTAACTTTATTTTACTTTTATAATTTAAAAAGCATTCTTGACTGGCATCAGCAAAACGACTAAGAAGTTCCAAACCCTCACAGAAACTGGATTAATTAATCCTACAGGAGCTCTGGAAAAAGTCAAAGATTTAGGGCAACCAAGCAAATAAATGCCCAGTCGATACAATGCCATGAATAGTAAAGTTCATGTCATTTTCATTTGTTATTGCTTTTTTATCTATATGGTACGTCTGGGTCTCAAGGAGATAGCACAGTTCGACATCCTTCCCTCAAACCAGAAGGCATAGAACCAACTTTACTTAAAACATTCTAACCTAGGGGCGCCTGGGTGGCGTAGTCGGTTAGGCGTCCGACTTCGGCCAGGTCACGATCTTGCGGTCCGTGAGTTCGAGCCCCGCGTCGGGCTCTGAGCTGATGGCTCGGAGCCTGGAGCCTGTTTCCGATTCTTTGTCTCCCTCTCTCTCTGCCCCTCCCCCATTCATGCTCTGTCTCTCTCTGTCCCAAAAATAAATAAACGTTGAAAAAAAAATTAAAAAAAAAAAAACATTCTAACCTCTCTAGGGTCTGCCAGAGGGTCTGGTCCCTGTCTCATCTAATTGCAATTTTAGGTGGAAGAAGCACTGGACTCCAATGCTGAAAGTTGAAAGGGTACTACAAACCCATGGGTACCTAGAGCAGAAAATTATGGGTGTACAGATAGACTACTTAAGGCCCTGAGGATCTGCGAGAGTGAGACACTTTGGACAATTAAGAAGTTAAAAGCAGCCATGTACACAGAGGGAATTGAGAAACCACAAATAGGTCCAGGCCAAACTTTAAGTGAAAGCTGATCTCTAGGCTCAGAACATGCCCAGCTAATCATCAGATGAATGCCCTGACATATAGCCAGTCTGCAAAGACTGGGAAGGTGACTGTTTCTCCAAATGCACATTTTCAACAACAAAAATCACAAGGCATGCAAAGAAGAAGAAAAAACAAAGCCCAGAGAAAGGAACAAAACAAATTCCCAGGAACCATGCCCGAAGCAGCACAAATATAGGTTTTACTTAGATGAGGACTTTAAAAATCAAGAAATTGTAAAAAGGAACCGAACAAAAATTCTGGAGCTGAAAGATACAATAATTGAATTGAGAAATTCACTAATGAGGTTCCATAGCACAATTAAGCAGGCTGAAGAAAGAATCTGAAAACTTGAAGACAGGACAAATAAAATGACTGAGTCTAAGGAAAAGAAAGAAAAAAGAAGTAAACACAGCTTAAAGGATTCATGGGACACGATCTATGGACCAGTCATGGGAGTTTCAGGAAAAAGAATGAAGGGTGCCAGGGTGGCTCTCTTGGTTAAGCATCCGACTTCAGCTGAGGTCATGATCTCACAGTTCTTGAGTTTGAACCCTGCATCAGGATCTGTCAGTGCAGAGCGTGCTTCAGATCCTCTCTCCCCCACCTCTCTCTCTGACCCTCCCCTGCTTATGCTCTCTCTTTCTCTCAAAAATAAACATTAAAAAAAGAAAGAATGAGAAAAGATCAGAGATAATGGAGGGGAAAAAAAAACAAAAATTTTTCCAAATTTGATGAAAGGCATAAAACTACAAATCCAAGAATCTCAACAAACGCATAGCAGGATAAGCACATGATGACCAACGCTGAGACAAACTGATGAAAGCCAAAGACAGAGAATCCTAAAAACAGCAAGAGAGAAGCAACATAACACATAGAAGGAATCCCCAGTAAGATTTTAGCCAATTTCTCAGTAGAAAACTTGAAGGCCTGATGGCAGTGTGATAATACAACTGTCAATTGAGAATTCTGTATCTGGCAAAACTGTGCTTAGAAACTGAAGAGGGGCACACCTGGGTGGCTCAGTTGGTTGAGCAACCAACTTCAGCTTAGGTCATGATCTTGCAGTTTGTGAGTTCAAGCCCCGCGTCAGGCTCTGTGCTGACAGCTCAGAGCCTGGAGCCTGCTTCAGATTCTATGTCTCCCCCTCTCTCTACCCCTCCCCTGCTCACGCTCTGTGTCTGTCTCTCAATAATAAAGGTTAAAAAAAAAAAAAAAAGAAAGAAATTGAAGTAGAAATTAAAATATTCCCAGATAAACAAAAACTAAGGAAATTCATTAATTTCACACTCTACAAGAAATGCAGAAGGGAGTCCTTCAGGTAAAAAGGAAAGGACCCTAGACAGTAACTCAGAGCCAAATGAAGATATAAAAATCTCCAGTAAAGGTAAATGCATGATCAAATATACAAACCAGTATTAGTCATAATTTTGGTTTGTAATTCCATTTCATTTTATGTAACATTTTGTTTAAAGACATAGTTTGTGACATCAATAATAAAGAGTGGGAGAAGGGCTGTCTATGAGCAGTTTAAGTATACAAATAAAATTAAGTTGGTATAAATTCAAATTAAATTATTATAACAGGATGCTATATATAATCTCTATAGCCACAAGGGAAATATCTATAGAATATACAAAAAAAAAAAAAAAAAAGGAAATGAGAAAGAATTTATGTGGCACTACAAAAAAATCCACTGAACACAAAAGAAGGTAGTAAATGAGGAAATGAATATACAAAAGCTGTAAGACAGAAAAAAAAACAATAAAATGACAAAAGTTCAGTTCTTCATTATCAGTAGTTACTTAACAAGTGGATTAAACTCTCCAAAGGCATACTGCCAAAATTGCTTAAAAAACATGATTGAACAATATGCTACCTGTAAGATACACACATGCACAGGTGAAAGTAAAAGTTTAATAAATATATTCTGTGTAAGCAGTAACCAAAAAGTGAGGTGACTATACTCATATCAGACAAAACAGACTTAAGTCA